ACACACACACATACACACATATGCAGATACAAGTCAGTAACATCTCGGTATTGCTAAATTTTTGCAAGTGCTTCTGTCAAGAGAACCGCTGAGTTATCAGTTCCTTCAGGAATTGAAAAAAACGTTAAGAACGCAAGCACGCTGACCACCAAGCCATAAAGTATTGGTCAAAGCATCTGAAGAACTTGCCAGCTTCTTAGCTGAGGAATCGCGCTATCCAAAACATTAAAAGGTGCTCAAATTGTCCGTTAAAAAATTATTTTAAAAGCGCTCACTGCAAAATACAGTGTCATGATCGATACTGGGGAAAATAAGAAAACCGATAATAAGGCTTAGTTAAGAAAAATTTTTTTTTCTGCGAAATCGTGGCTTTTTTTGTAACGGCGGCTTGAAAACAGCAGTAGGCAAACCTCATCAGGAGACTGTGCTACAGTTTCGCCTGGAATGTATCTGCTTATTTTCGGTCGTGGTATTCGAGCCGGTACCGGTTCAGGAACTTTGGATGGCAACATTGGTGGCAGCGGTGCCGATGGTGTGATATCCTTCTTCAGGATTACTTTCTCCTTTAGGGCACCTTTTGTTGTTTGAGGTGTTGAAGGCGTCGAAACATTCTGAAATATTCGAATCATTTCACTGGGCGCTAAATGAAGAAAAAGTGAGTGAGGTAAAATCATTGAGAAGAGACGAAAATGCTGACAAAATTTACAACAAGGTGGAAAAATCGAAAACTGAATTAAGGGAAGAAATACTGAGTTGCATTGAAAATCAATAAATAGGGCTGACGAAAAGAGGGAGTGTCTTGGCATTATCAGCACTGAGAACTGATAAGGCCGGCTGATAATTTTTTGATAATTTTCTATGTACTCAGACTGGCACATTTGGTTCACATATCAAAATTCAAAACTTCCTTCATAATTGTTGTTCAGCAGAGACTGAGATAAATAAATTAGCTATGAACGATCAGAACCAAAGTTATTCGAATTTTTTTTCTCAGTTTACGGAAATCTCGCCGTCAAAAGAATTACGTGATAGCTAAGGAAAGGAAGGCCAAGCACAGTCATAGCCAGGGATAAAAAATGAAATTCAGTTCACCAAACAAAATGTGTTGCCCACTTTATTACCAGTAATTGGTAAGCATCAGGTACCATCAAATGGTAATTATACGATTGAAAGAAAAAATCAAAAAATTTGCATAATGGGGAGTCACCAACAAATTTGCATATATTAACTTTGATAAGCGAAGTACATTGTCGATTTTGCTACCAGTCAAGTACCATTAAGAAGAGCTACATGTAAGACTGACGAAAAATATATTCAAAAATTTGCATATCTGGAGCCTATCCAAAAAATTTTTCTCGTACTACTACCTGTGATTTGTGCTGGTCAGCGATATACTGCAGTGGATCTCCTTTTTTAGTTGGCGCCCTCCAAGATTTGGATGCTGTGGTACCACGGATGAAAGTTAGTTGCGGTGTCTTCTCGGTAAGCATTTTCTTGACGATTTCAGCTCGAGCATGACCGAGAGCTCGTGGAACTTTCGATTTTCCAGAGGTTGCAGTACTGCCGGCGTCGTCTGCGATACGTTGCTCAGGTGGCGACTGCTCCGCAGACTTTGAACTATCGAAATGAATCGCTTCTGGATCTGATAGTGATTCTTCCACTATGCAAATCTGAAATGGTCAAAGTGGGCATCCGAACTGTAAGGTATTAACCAGCTCTCAGTTTCTTGACTAGAACGTGATAAGGCTGGGACCACTGATTCCGGATGTGTGATAACGACTGACTTAACAAATCACTCCTTAGCAGCTCACCAGAAATCACTTTTTGGGAAGTTTGGAGACACTGGAAAGAGTGATTTAAGTGTTCTAACAGCAACTACCCTCTGGCAAGGCTGTCAATGGCTTCCTCTTTTGACGATTGCTTACGAGCAAGCTGATGGCAGGTTTAACTTCTTGACATATGTCAGTGCTAATTCATAATGAATTTAGCTCTACGTTAGGTCATTCAACTGAAAAATGGAAAGCATTTTTATCAAACTTGAACATTTGAAGAACTTACAGAATTTTCTCATTTTTTCAATCAGTTTTTTTTT